CGATGAAACGCGGTTGTTCTATTGGGGCTTCCAGCGTTTTGGAGGCAGCGCAAGTGAATGCGGGCGACGATGTTCAGAAGTCGGGGATGACGGACAGCCAGCGGGGTCCTGCGTCGCCCCGACGCTGCGCTGGTCATCACGCCGGCTACTCCCGCTCACACTGGATTCTTAATGGCCTTTCCAGGCTTTGCTAGTTCCTCGTATCTGCTGATGCCGGCAAGGTGCAGACAGAAAACACGACACGGAAACCGCAGTCAGATTGCTAACCTTTTTTTCTTTCTTTTCGTTTCAGTGATTCATAAGCAACATTTCTGCTGCAGGATTTAAACTCTCCCAAAACAATTACAGTGGTATTGACAGCAAAGCTCACAGGGAGATGCTCAGTTTATTCCAGGGCAACGTGCTGTGCTGCTGTGATATCATCGATCAGACAAATGGAACCGCTCTGTTCAAGCTAACAGATTTTTTCAAATTACTCCGTCGGAAACCCTCTGCTTCCTCCGGTACGCTCTGCTCGGAGTGAAAGTGGGCTGCTTGTTCCTTCTCCAAGTTCTCCACGGCCGTCGTCGCCTTGTGCTCCAGTTGTCGGCTAATTAACTTTCCTTAATTTGTCGTATCCTCAGAAGCTGAATGATTATCCAGTTCTATGTTTAACACGCGGCGAGTCTGACTTCACGCCGCTGCTGACAGCAGTGCGGCGCGTGCATAATGAGTGCGGTCCGTTGTCATGGCGACCGGCCGTCTCCAGGGCCGGTCTCACGGGAGGAGGAGAGTCCTGCAAATACACACGAGTTTCTCTGTTGATAAAACAAAACCTCAGGCCCGTCCCAGATGTTCTTCTGATGCGTCGCAGATTTAAAAAACCCACATCTGTAACGTCTGGTACGCTGTGATAAATAGGGCCGTATGAGGGGGAAACACCCCGCCCGGTCCACAGATGCTGTTTGGCTGTAAACGTGGCGGCGCTGAAGGAACAAGCTGTCGACACCAACGGCACCAACATCATTCTGCGCAATTCTGAGACTTCTAACACAGTCGATCTATATCCGGTCCTCGCTGTGGGAGGCGGTGCATTCAGGTTTGTTTCACGCCGGAGTGTGTGTGTGTGTGTGTTGTGCTGTTGGGACGGTACTGGAGCGTTCTGCTGACGATGACAAGGTCCTTCGCAGCACATCTGGAGGTGACAGCGACTCGCTAATTGATCTCTGATGGCGGGGATAGAGTAACGGATGCGCGTAGTCCGCCACAGGCATTGGAGCCCCGCGCAGCTGCTGGTTTCATATTTAAGCCGACGAGTCGCACGGAGCGTCCTCCTGGGCTGCAGCATCAGCATCTGTAATTCGACGTGTCTTCTCACTTTTGTCGGTGTGATTTTGGATCACCG